TAGAATAGTACTGCTTAAATGTTCACAGCTTCCACAGTGGAAAGCTGCCCAATCATAAATGTCAGTTGGCAACCCAGGGTTAGTCTCTATGGTGGTTTAGGTAGCATTTAAGAGATGCACAGAATTAGAAACATTGGAGATTGTTAGAAACTCTCAGACTCTCTACTACTGGAAAGTTTTATAAATTTCTATTGGAAAGCTAGAATTAGATTAGACATATATAGGTATAGGAAAATTGGAAGAGAGCAATTTCTGAATCTGACGAATTGGGGTAAAGCACATTCACATTTGTATTTAGAGGTGACCAATTTAAAAGCTAAACTCCTCTTAATCAGCAGGCTTTTATAATGGAATGCAACAGGATTTACTTTTGTATCAAAGGAGCATCAGAGAATGCAGCTGAGTACAATTATAAGCTCACTGATAAGCAGGATGCAGGTCCTTAGCTGCACTCTGAGACAGTGCACTTAATAATTGAGAATCAAGCAACGACATGTTAATGAGGAGTTTAAAGACGCACTGGCCCTGAATCTCAGAATTTGTCGATACTCGTTACCTAGATTTTCATTTCAAAGTAATGAAGTGATAAGTAGGAATCAAAAGGAAAGTTTGTGATTGAGAAGAATTGCTTTCCAAATAATTCAACAAGTACTTAAAGCCTGAAATATAGATAAACCATTGATAGGCCAGTATAGCTTGGCCACACAGAGTAGCAACATAATGTGGAAGGGGAAACAGAGTTGTGGGCAGTACCCAAGGGACTTTTTACAACATCACAGATCACTAACTAGCTAGGGACAGACCGGAGACCCAAGGATAATGTGTGCATGAGATAGACCATTCAGAGGATAGAGCTTTCCGATGATTCTTGGCAAAAAAAGATAGAAAGGGTTAATATAATCCCATGTAAATGCTCAACTCATGGTTGGCTTCTCTTAAATTTTTATTGTTAGGTTTTAAAATTATGCTCTAGTTTGCTTGCTACTGCTGTGATAAGTGGACTGACCAAAACCAACTTGGGAAGGAGAGTGTATTTGGCTTATACTTTGAGGTTAGCAGTCCATCAGGGAGGCAAGTCTGGTCAGGTACTCAAGTAAGAACAGTAGAAATCACGGAGGAATGCTGCTTACTGGCTTGCTTCCAGGCTCATGCTGAGTTATCTTTCTTATACATCCCAGCCCTTCCTGCCTAAGGATGGGTTTACATCCCAGCCCCACCTGCCTAAGGATGAATCTACATTCCAGCCTCACCTGCCCAAAGATGGTACCACCACTCCTATACCAACTACGTCCCCAAGACATGCCCACAGGGCAATCTGATGGAATCAGCCCTGCTACTGAGGTTCCTTCTTCTCAAATGAATCAAGTTAAAAACGAAATTTAGACATCACAACAACACAATAATAATGGATTTGGATAACAGAATGGTCATCCCTAAAAACATTTATTTACAAGAAATGCAAAACAGAGCCATCAGATTGTATTTATGTAAATATTCATTACATACGTGTGTGTGCACACGCGTGTGTGCATGCCTATGCACATATATCAGTAATAACTAAAGAATAAAAGGCCAAGACTTTGAGAAGGAGGGGACATGGGAAGGGATGATGGAAGAAGTGGAAGAGGAAAGTAATGTAACTATAATTTATATAATTAAATTAAGTTTTTATGAGTCTTCTTGTGGTATTTAAAACACTATAATTTGCCTATGTTTTTCTGTTTGTTAACAGATATTTTACATTTTAATTAAAGAAGGCTGCCTACCTGTGATTTGTCTTTTTTAAGAAAAAAAAATGAATGAATAACTACATTGCTGAGGACTTTGTTACAGACACAAGATAAGCCAGTTTGGAGGTAGTTAATGTGCAGGTTTCTGCATTTCCCTCTTTTTACAAATACTTGCAAGTGAATGATTATCACACAAAACCAGCTAGAGTACCTGGAGGTGATTCATCTCTAAACATTTATTCCTTTTTGGAAACCACGTACCCCACATATCTATACGTCTATGTTTTCCTTTTCTCTTGACAAGCTGCTTGTCCATGCTAAGTATGGAATGTGTCTTTGGGGTCAGTTGTTTTATGTGCTGCTTTCAGGAATGAACTTTCTCAACTTTTATCATGAGACTCTCTTCTCCCACTGGGTCTTGGTGTCGTCTTGCATGTTTATGCAAATATGTGGGGCTCCAGACCTTGAGTGGTCAATCCCTCATAAATCTTCCAAGAAAAGCCAATAGAGTTCCTTCTAATCCAGGAACAGAATGTGTTTGTTGGGTTTCCCTGTGAAGCCTTTGCCTGTCACAGGCTTTTCCCCTTGACACCTCCACATTTTTTGGGTGGAAGGGAACAGGTAATTCCTGTCTTCAGTATCTTTATCATCTGGTAAAATTCCCAAGCCAAAGGCATGGAAAGGTCAAAGGACATAGAGTGGAAAACTCAAAATGGTGAATTTGAGGAGTAATGTCAGGAGACAACAGCCAAACGATAATTAATCAAAACATTTCAAAGACAATAAAAACCAAGACAAAAAAAAAAAAGTTTCAAAAGCAAACAAAATACTGACCAAAATGTCTTTGGAGATCATAAAGAAACCAACCAAACCAAACCAAAATGCCCAGGTCAAAATGCTTTCAAAGCAAAGGAACAAACTGGATAACCTAAAACAAAATTCTTTGAAAGCAGATGAAAAGGGGATATATCAAAGCAGGATTCTTCTTAGCCAGCCCAGAACAAACAAAATGGACCACTGGCCAAACCAAGAGAATCTGGAGCCCCAGAAAGAGCTCACCCACAATTCACTGAAGAAATAACACCAGATAGATGGCTTGAATTCAGTGGGTCTGTGCAGACACTGGTTTCCATTCAGGTGATTCCACTAGTGAAATCATTATCTGGGTCCCACATTGTGGCACCATGACTGTCAACAGAAAAACTACAGCCCTCATCTTAAAGGGAAGAAGAGACGGTTTATTCTAAAACTGTTTTTGAATGACTATGACCTAGGAACACAGACTTAGGTTATCCCTAATTCCATGTTGCTGTGTGGAAGCAATTTCAAAAGGGCTTTATGATTTCATAGAATAGAGTCATAACTCAAGGCAAGTTTAAAATCCATTGGTGGGTACATCAGAGAGACAGGTCCACTGAGATGGGGGAAACTTTTCTATAGACTCAAGATGCCATTTAATGGCATCCTTAGGTTTTGGATTGGTAGAAGATAGTTGCCTGCTCAGCCAATAGATTCTGAAATGTTACCTATTGGCACAAGATGTTAGAGAACAGGATGAGAGGGGGCAATGAATGACTGTTCTGCAGGACCAGAATTTAGCCCAGCATAACGGAATTAGCCTCTGGACTGGCAGCATTCCCATCTCTCCACAGTTCTGAAATTCTAATCGGCCAATCAGTCTCTGCAGACAGAGATTCCTTTCAGGAGTTTTTGTTCATAACTCGATGCGACTTCCTTTCAGAGGTTTTCATTCACGGGGGTCAGTACTCACTTAGTCCAATGTCTGGCACCATAATCATGGTCCTGAGAACATACTTTTTACTTGTGCATGTGTTGATTGCTACATTATTCACAATAGACAAGATGAGGAATTAGCCTAGATGTCCATCCATAGATGAATGGATCAAAGAATATGATACATACACAAAACACATTTTTATTCAGTGATAAAGAAGAATGAAATCATTCCATTTTCAGGAAAGTAACTGGACCTGGAGATAAACAAGTTAAGTTTTTTAAGGGCCACTGAGAAAGATAAATATTGCATATTTTCTATCATGCGAAATCTAGATTTAAATGTATATTTACATTAACATGTGTAAATATATATAAGATATGAAAGTAGAAAGGACATACGGGGAGAAGGAAGAGGTTTACAATGAACTGGAAAGGGAAATAGGAGAGAAAGATAAAATATCACATTTTTCTCTTATTTTTGTACAGAATCTAAAATTATATATAAATTATAGGAAAATATATTATATACATATATAGATCAGGAAATTAGAAGGGAGACCATTTGGAGGGAGAAAGAGAAACAGTAAAAGAAGAGTGATGGTAGACAGTATTAGGAATATATAAAAGAACAGACTACAAGGATTAATATGTATGAAAATAAAACCTCATAATAAAAACCATTGTTTTGTATAACAAAGCATAGAATTGAACACACTTGGATTGCTTCTGCTGAAAGACACTTATCACTAAATTATATTGTGTCCTCCTATCAGAGCTAAGAATTTAATTACATATTACTGATACGAAAGTGTACAAAGCCATTCAATCTTGAGATTTACATGCCAAACAACTTGGCTGATGTTCTTTATAGGCTCACATTTCAGGGATCAAGAACTCTGATTACCACGGGGACGTTTCTGTGGGACTTTTCAGAAAAGTTGGTGTGGCACATGCAAGTCCAAGCTCGGAGTGTTCTAGAAATCACTCTTACTCACAGGTATCCATCTCATTTTGCATCTCAGTAACATGTCATCCTAATGATGATCAGGATGGCCTGGTTCCTACTATGTTTCAATAAGAGTTTCTCTTGTTTACAAGACACCCAGGCAACACACAATGGAAACTCCTTGAAGTCTTTTTCCTCACGATATTTTTCTATAGTCAAGAAGAATTCAGTTTTAGAAACCTAGATCCTGACTTCAAGAAAAGTCTGCTATAAATGTAAGTGCTGAGCCCATTCACAAATGGCCACAGTTCTTCTCCTGTCTCTTCACCTAAAATAGTTTCATGTTTGCCTAGCTATTAGCAAATCACACACGTAAATGTCAGAGAAAAGCAAAGAAATAGATTTATCTATGAGGCAGATGGATACAGCTGGAGTCAAACATCCACAATACAGTGAAGACCCAGCAACAAACCATGGTGGAAGCCCAAGTGGGAGCCTAACTGCTTGTCTTTGAAATGCTGCTCCCCCAGGGAGGTCGGATTCTCTGGCCTTTGTGCCATGTCTAAAGCTTGTCCCTTTTGTTTCAGCTGGCGGGCTTCATCTATGCCTGTTACGTTGTGAAATGTATAACTGAAGAAGAAGACAGCTGTAAGTATTAAAGCTCCACTCTGTGCCTTTCAAGTTCAAAGCTTCCTTAGTGCTTTCTCCCCAGCTTTCCCGCTATGAGACAATCACCCCTCCACACCCCAGCAGAAGAGGAAATAAGGCTGTGGTGCCCCCCATACTAAGCTAGTCTTTACGAAGGAATCAGAGAGGCTCTCATTTTGAAAACATGCTTTTTTCCTTTCATTGAAAGGTATTTCAAAAATCTGTTCTTAGAACAATTCTAGTAGAGAATACAGATGGGAGATTAGAGACAGAAGTGAATTCTAAATGCAGTTAGCTTGGATATTTCCCTTTGCTACAGTTTAGTTATTGTGTATTGCTAATCAATCTGTTTCATCAAGGACTACGAATCTCATTAATAATTTGTAATAGTGCTTAAAGCTCTGCCATTAATTGAATCCTAGTGGAAATCAATTGCTACGACAATGCTATGTATGCGATGGTAGAGATGGCATGACATAAAACTCCAAGACATGATCTGATATGGCATTGTATTGGGATGACATGTTAAGATATGATGTATACAATACAACATGATCTTGTATGTCATGATATGGCATGGCATGTTAAGAAATTACATGAATGATATAAGATAATGATATGATATTATGTGATATGATATGACCCATGCTAAAACCTTTTGAGTAATGGAGCAGGGTGTGGTTGGATACTGTGATAAAGGGAAAGGAGGAGTCTGGTACATTCCTAGATGTCCACTAAGAGTGAATGAGTTCATAGAAATGCCTCTTACAAATAGATAGTTAGCTGAGTATGGACAGGTTGCTTGAGGTATAAGAGAAGACATTCAGTCACCACTGGTCATATGCACAGAAGCCTTGTTCAGAGACCATGGCAGATAGAAGATGGCTAGGTTTTTAAATTTATGGACCCAACAGGCCGTGTGATCAGCAGCTTTCCAGAATAGCACTTTGCAAAAGAGACTCCTAAAATGCTCATTTTTACAAGACTAAAGACAAGCAAATTTGATGCTAAAGATTCAGAAAGCTTTTTTATACACGGACACCTCCAAGAGTGGTCTAGTAAAGAAGTATGTTCAACTTTTCCTAATTGAGTTTTGTTTGCATCATACTAGGTAAGCATAACTGACAATATGGATCAAAGAGACAAGGAGAAAAATTTTCTCTATACTCACAGTTCTTTAGGGAGAGCAGAGCTTGTCCTGAACTGTTCCAGAGGGGAGATGAAAAGGGTAGTCTTGAGACAGAAGTAACCACAATCTAATGATAGAACCAGTAAGTGCTGAGGCATGGTAACAGATAGATGCAGGACTGACTAGTTGCTCTTACAGGTAGTGTGCCTATGAGCTAACTAGATGGCTCGATGGTTTACAGCACTTGCTGCTCTTACGTAGCACCTGGATTAGATTCCCAGCACCCACACTGAAGCTGTTTGTAACTCTAGTTTGCTAGTTCGAAATGATTTGACTCCCCCTTCTGGCCTCATTCAGCACTGTGTGCATAGTACATAGTAGTATCATAAGGTAAACCACCCATACACATTAAAAAAAAAATGATGTACCTAGGCCAACAAAAAAAAAACCTGACCACCTGAGTTTGATCCATAGGACCCACATGGTTGGAAGGAGAGAACAAACCCACAAGTTGTTTTCTAACCTCTACACACAAGTAAATTAAGTAAATGTAATTTTCAAAAAGTGATACCCTGTGAAATTCACAGTCACTAGTAAGGCACCTGCTTTAGAGCTATCTAAACTCCAAACATGTTTTAGAATAAGCTTAAGAACAGCTAGTGGTATTTTATGGATGTTAAAACTTCGATTTATGGAAACTAAAATATGAATAATACAAGGCCCAAATATTGGTATACAGAACCCTTCCATAAAAATTCTTAACATGTCAGAGAATACAAATTCTAGGGATGTGCCTCAGAGAATTCTGTCCTAAGTAAAAGTTTTACCAATATCATGTAAATCCAAGGAGATCAGGCATCTCCAACATCATTTAGCAGGTAAATCTTATGCCACAGCATCTAATAAAACTTCTGAAAGTAATGTCTTTTATCTATTTTGTTACCTTCTTCATTCTTGCTTTTTTTTAATCCAGAGCATAAGAAGCTGTTTCCTGAACAAGTTTCTCATGTTGGTCTGAGAACTTAAAGAAATCTTTGTCTGTGTTCCCTAGACCATTGGCACTATGAAAAAAAAAAGTGTCCTCTGAAAGCAAGCCTCGAAAATTTTGATAGAGGCTTGATGTCTGCCCAACACTGAGACTGGCGTAGTATCTGTTTGAAGCTTTCTGCTTGCCAAATTAGTGAAGTTTCCATCCCTAAGAGGACAGTCTATGTATTATGCCTTGGTGAGAACACACCATAGAGATGAGGACGGGCTTTCTGACTGCTGGGTGAATAAAGTAGGCTGGAGGCTGGCCCGATGTTGAGCAGTTCCGTGCTCACAGACATGAGTGTACCCAGCCAAAGTCAGAGCGAAGAGCTATCGGCTTCCAGGGAACCATGAACCAGAAGCAAAGACTCAAGTTAGACTCCATGACATAGTAAGAAACAGACGATTATAGACTGCACAACACAGGGGTGAGGAGTGGAAGGAGGAAGGTTAAAAAAAAAAAAAGGAGGGAAGGAGAGGGAAAGAGAGAGAGGGCGGGGGAGAGGGGGAGAGGGGGAGGGAGAGAGAGAAAGAGAACATTCCAAGCTTGTCTCACACTTACTATGTAGCCAAGGATGGCTTTAAGCCCCTGACCTTCCTGACTCCTCCTCCCAAGTGCTGGGATTGCAGGTGAGCCACCAATCCGTGTTTATGCAAGGCTGTGAGTTGAGCTCAGGGTCTCATGTGTGCTAGGCAAGCACTGTACCTACTGAGCTACATAGCTGGCACATTACAACAGATGCATTAATGCAACATCTCTTTCTAGTGGAAAACCCCTGAGTGGATGTCTCGGTGCTCAACCCCATAGTCTAAACCAGAGCCACAGCCGAGCAAATGGGCTCACTGCACAAAGCCACAGCACACCACTGCCACCTGCTGTGCGCCCTGGGATATGACATCAGGTAGCATCATGAGGGTGCTCTTCTGCTTTCTATGAATCAGTAGGGCTGCCATGATAACAGCATCGGCAGCTTAGACAACAGAAACTAGTTTTCTCCCAGCTCTGGAGGCTGAAACTCCAAAATCAAGGTGTTAGCATGCACTTTGTCCTGAGACCGCTCCTTGCCATATCTGTGGTACCTTTTCAAAAATCTTTACACGGCCGGGCGGTGGTGGCGCACGCCTTTAATCCCAGCACTCGGGAGGCAGAGGGTTCGAGGCCAGGCTGGACCGACAGCCTCCAAAACAATACAGAGAAACCCTGTCTCGTAAAAAAAAAAAAAAGAAAGAAAGAAAGAAAGAAAAGATCCTTACATGGCCTTTTCTCTATGCTTTTCTTCTTATTTAAAATTTTCAGTCCATTTGGACTTCAGCCTTGTCCTGGTGACCATATTTAACTTTAATTAGCTTTTAAAGGCTCTGCTCAAAAACTTCACACTGAATTTTAAGCCTTCTATTCATGAATTGAAAGGCAGGGACACAAATAAGGCTATAAAACACACACACACACACACACGAACATACAATGTTTCTTGGACGGATGAGTATATTTACTGGGGCAAAGTGGACCCAGATTCAGATGAGAACTTTGGGGTGCTAACACTGTCCAGCATGGCTACATTACATGTTCACTACCATCAGGCAGAAAACCCAGCCAGCACCTCCAGCTGGAATGTCACCTGCTTTTAAATGAAAAGTTCCACACCAGGAAAAACTAGAACCTTGAACTCCAGTTCAACAGTTGTACCTTAAACCAGGCACGCATTTGAGCCCAGTGGCCCTCGAAACACACTTGGGTGTGTTTGCTCTGCCTTAAGAGAACAGGCTTCCTCCACTGTGCTATTGGTGGCCGAGCTCTCCTCTTTCTGGCCATGCTGAGTTTTCCTTAAAGGCCCCAAGTCTCTTCAGTCCCCCTGTGTTTGTTCTTGTTTACAAACTTCTGTAAAAGAAATGGATGTGTCAGAGATCGTCTTACACGTGGCTCTTTTCTCTTGCTTAGTTAGACCTCCCCTCTGCTGCACAGCTGTGACATGTACCACTTTGGTGACAGAGATAAGAGTTTATCTCTATGTGTCACCTGCTATTAAAAGATCTTTACAAAAAGTATCATTAATCCATGAGAGGGAAAATGCTTCAACATCTGACTTTTCAATTTTCATTGCTGTTTGGTTTTTTAAAAGTATTTTCACTAGAACAAAGTACAACTAAATGTTGGTCTCTTGCAAATGCATCCATTTTTAAGTACCTTTTTTCTTTTCTGAGCACATTTTTCCCTATCTGCCAGTTCTTCTTTTATTTGATGATTCAACCAATGGCAGATAGAAAATATATAGGCAGTGAAGGAGGAGTGCATTCGTACCAAATGTGTCCTGATTTTTGTCCTCATTGAAAGTTCCAAAATAGTATAATACAGCAACTTTTATCACACAGAGAATTTGCACAGCATTGGGTATTACAAATTATCTAGAGATGACTCTATCTGGCCTGCTTGGTATGTGTGTGTTATATATAAACTCTTAGTCAGTTTTTCTAGGATACCTAGCATCATCAAAAGTTCCCAAATAGTATAATACAGCAACTTTCATCACACAGAGAATTTGCACAGCATTGGGCATTCGAATGATCTAGAGATGACTCCATGTACATTTCATGGTGTGTGGGGGTTATACATAAACTCTATGTCAGTTTTTCTAGGATACCTCAGGAAATTTGTGAGTTTTTGTATCCACAAGGTCCTGGAATCCCCATGGTTACTGAGGGATGACTGTAGCTACCACCTTATCTAATAGAGATGCAATGTATTTCCAAATGTTATTCAATATTGAAATCACCTGGGAAAAAAAGATGTGGAATGTCATTTAAAGATAATAACCTCAGGGACTTATTCTGAAAGCAGTATTGG